CCTCATTTGGCTGACTGGGGCCGCTCAAGGCCGGCTTCCTCCACCTGTTTAACATCAGAATTCTTTATTCCAGTCTCGTCCCCTTTCGGAACCTCTTGAGGCAGCGCCTCCTCCATCGAGTCATCCAGACACAGTTTCTTCACTGGAGTAGGATCTTTCGCTAGGTCCTCCACGAGATCCACTGTCCTCTTCCTATCCCCCATCTCATCGTCTGACGGCGCCACCATCCGGAAAGCAACCTGCGACCCAGCCGATGGAGTAGCTGAGTTCTCATTCTCCTCCACCTTCTTCTTTCCTCCCCCTATTGTCGCATCAGCAGCCCCCAGCGAGGAACCATCTCCCGCTAGGCCACCCCCAACCAGCCCACCCGCCTTTAGATCTTCTACACCATCTTGCCCCTCCTTCTTCCCACCCGCTCGAACATTTTCCACCTTCCCTTCCCTCTTCAACTCCTTCGGACCGCCAGCTTGTCTCCCCTCCCCACTGCCTTTGCCTTCTCCCTTGTCTCGTTTAATTGCCTCACCACGCACCTTGAGTACCACTCTCGGCAATGAGGCCGACATCGATCCGCCTGCTTTACTCGCTTCCTTTGGCCTGCCCAGATTAGCCTGGGCCACCTGCTTCCCCTTCCCTTCTCTCAGTCCCCCCCTGCCTTCTGTTCACCAGCTGACTGCGGCACCTGCCTCCCCTCGTGACCCGCCCCACCATTTCGCGCCTTATCATCCGAGACCCGTTCTCCAGCTGCCCCAGAAATCACCTTCTTGGGATCTCCTCTGTTGGCCTCCATCTTCGCCCCCTTCCCTAGCGGAACAGCCTCCACCGATTTGTCCTGGCGCTTGCTTGCTTTCTTCCCAGCAGCCCTCTCGGATGCAGGCAGAGCCAGAACCACACCCCTGCCTGGATCCCTCTCCTCTTCCTTGTCCTCCATCCGCACCTCCCGATAGTGCCCACCAGTCCCCTTCCTTTTGCCCAGCGTAGCAGGGTTCACCCAAACCGATTTCTGCAACGGCGCACCATAGATGGCCGCCAAGGAAGTTTCATTTATGCGATACCCCGACTCCTTGGTCGTCAACTCTGGCCCATAGTGCTCCTCCCCAGAGGGCGGGGGATAGGTGCAATTCTGGGCAGTATGCCCAAAACGGCCACAGTGATAACAAAATAGCGGGAGATGCTCATAAACCAATGTTATCCAAAACTTCCCCACAGTAGGGTTCGTCGCAAACAACTGGGATCGCAGCGGCGCCATAGCATCAATCAAGGCCCGGACTTTCAGAAAGTGTCCTGGAACCCCCTTCAATCCGAACAGGCCGGCATCGCACACCATTCCCAGCTTGCTCTCAGCCATCCGTCTGCCAAACGCCACTGTTCGACAATGGGACGGGATGCCCCATATCTGGACCCAAAATGGCACCCTACCCAGCGCCTCCACCACTGCCGGAGTAATCGGTTCCCAATTCTGCAAATGTAGAATTCTTTCCTTCACTTGCCAGGGGGTCCTTTGGAGAACCCAGTCTTTATCACGCTCATCTTCGAAAAGGAATTGCAGAAGCCCCAACTCAGCTTCCATGACCGTGACCTTCCCTGAGCATCCCCATTCCCCATACACAATTTTTTGAATGGTCTTGAGGCTAGGTGGGTTATCCATGAACAGCCTCCCCACCAAGCTCAGTTTCGCCCTTTGCATACTCTCTTCCACATCTTCCAGTTCAAATTCGACCACTTGATCTGGGTTCATTGGTTCATCCGCCATGGTTGCTCTGTTTCCGCGAAGCTGGAATTGAAGAGAAAACAGAGTAAACAAATGGGCATAAACCATGAATCCAACATAGGGCAGAAGCCAAATTTGGTATAACCGCAAAAAGGCTCTCCAAAACATGATGGTTTTACCTCTCACGTCTGGTATTCGAAAGAGATTTGCCTCCGTCTCCAAAGTTTCCCAGAAGAATTGATTTTTGTGTTTTCTCTGGTCACCGGGGAGCGAGGTTAAATACACCCATTGAGGGGCAAGCCTCAGCACCGTCTGAGTACATGACTCTGTTTTTGGGGTTATCCCTCTCTGATTTTCCCCGATGGAATCTCCCAACCTGATCTGGGTATATCCCCAGTATTTACCTTTGGCTTTGGATAATTCCACGAACATATTTTTTTCCGGACTCGAGCTTCTGGACAGAAGCCGAATCGCCTTCCAAATCTCGCACACAGAGACCCAATCTCCACCTTCCACAGATCCCTTCCCGATCGTTTCCATCATTATCCGGCCATCGAAATGAAGCCGTGTTCTTCCTGGTCTCTTCCATAGAGAACCCAACGAAGAGGAAAACCAACAACTTTCGCAGAAAGGAGAGGAGAGAGGAGAGAGCGATTCTCAACATTTTTTTTTTTAACTTTGGTGATTTACAACTCTTGTTTGTTTCGACCGATCGCTAAAATACATTGCATCCATTTATAAAAGCAACATATAAACGGTCGGGAGCGAAAATTTGAAAATGGAACAAAGTTTGAATGATTAGTCTAACTTAATCCAAATCATGTAACAACCTTGCCTTGTTTCTTTATCCATTTTTTTTTTATTCAGATTTATCCATTTGATTATTGTTGAATGACCCAGCTTGTCTGCCCATCAATTATTTTTGGGCCTCCCCTAAAATTACACATCAAAGATATTCATTCTCAGAGATTTATCAAAGATTCATAAATAAATAAAAATTTGGAATTCGTTTTGAACGTATTCGATTTGTGTTACCTGTCGTGAAGGAAAAAATTGAATCAAAGAACAGTTTGAGTTGTCTAATTATGCACACTCTTTTAGCATTAAAATAGAAAGAAAAAAATCTATTTATTGGAACTTTCGGTCCAATTTTTTACTATTGTTTCAATCTGTCTATACATTATACTAGATCGTACCCCCGCCCGTTGGCCGGTTGCAATATGATCGATAATCGTAGATAACAAATGTTCCAAGTTTAAATTCTAGTGATATTCTCTTCTTTTATATTCGCGTCATGATTATATGTTATGGTAGTTTTTTTCTCGAATAAATGAATACGAAGTTGAAAATAATGGAAGAGTAGACCTATGTGTAGTCTTCCTGATATTATTGTACATTTCCCACAAAAGTACTCGTCGTAGTGTTCTTCAAAATTTTGTGATAGGTTGCATATTCAACATTTCTACTACCAATTCTTAACTTTGAAAACTTTATATTGTATGAAAATACACATTGCCCTAAATATTAATGAAAGAGTAAATATTTATTAATTAATGACTCATTATATTGAAACTCATGTTTACCTTTTTCCCATCCTGGATTTTCAATTTACTAAGCCCTTACAATATTTTGGTGGAGATTGGCGATCGCGTTTGATTTTTGACTCCCACTGCTACAATTATCATACCCATATATGACGGCTTGTCCTGATCTGTGTTCCATGATAAATTATCCGATCTAATACGGACAAAGGGATATGGATATTGAGAGACTCCAACCATTTATAATGCGGGAGTGATTGACGTAATGTAGGGATAATTCAGAATTATGGTCGTTGAAGTTAAGTGGTGACTTGAATTGTGAAACAAAGAAGAATTAGAGCTTGAAGAATTATTATTTTATTATAACCATTGGAGCATGAATTTTAATAAACCTTTTATTAATACCTCAAATTACTTTGGCTTTCCACCCATGAAGTAGTAGCGAGACAACTGTAAAATAAAACAGCCAAGAATGAAAAGACATAATAGTCCATCCGTGATGTGCGCAGAGCTCAGCAAAAATTGAATTGGGCGAGTGCTATGGGGAATCTCCTTATATAATTTGTAGGATAGGATATGGGACCCCAAGTCCTAACCGTCTCCTAATCCATTTTTCTTGAAATAGCATGGTTTGATCGTGTTTACTAAAAGACTTTTAAGATTAACTTGTTCATGAACCGAGTGCAAGAGGTTTCAATCTTTCAGATCCTTTTCATATTTCCCTTTGCTCGTATTTTATTATGTCAAAATTGAAGTGGATTTTAGGTATCAATAAAAGAAAGTAAAGGGGAACTTTTCATAGGAGTAGTTGGGTGAGGAAAAGTGTGTGTGATTGGTATTAAGATATGAGAATTCACAAATTAAGTAAGCTTCTCTCTCTTTTTTAATCCAAGGGTCGTAAAAGATTTTACAAATCGCCCGATTAGTTTTTTTGTGTGTGTCCATACCTTACGTACTAGAGATTGGATATTAATCACGAAGTTAGCATAACCAATAGAGGATGTCAATCACAACAAATATCTAAGTAGAACTATACCAAAATTGGTAGCTTGTGTAGACGAAAGCGATGATATAACAGAAGGGGCATTGACTTCTTCAACAAACTTTGATGAAGTTTTACTCTAATGATCCAACCGAGTCCATGAACAAATTGGATACTAAGGATAATGCAAAACAACATAACTATTAATTTTAAGTTGCCTGTTTTCTGTTCATGATGCATGATGTGAATGCTATTTTTTTCCGTTGAATTAAACGATATTTTTCAATGCAATGACAGTATGTATATATAATATATTTTATGGTCTTAACAAAAAGGATATCATTCTCACGAAAAAAATATATCACAATATTATAATTTTCATAAACACAACCTTATGTGATGTTCTCTGTCTATTCTAGCGACTCGATCGTTGAAATTTCTTTTATCTATACTTCCCAGCAACTCACATGTCGAAAAACTCACATTTCGTTTTTACAATATATCCATAATTTTTGTTAATCTAAATAAATAGCCCCCAAGAGAGCTGACTTAGAACAATATTAGACCTTCAACACAACAATGGCAGTGAATGAAATTGACACTTCACCACCTCTTCTATTTAAATTATAATCATCCAACCAAATTACTAACCTCTCTCTTTTTATTTATAAAATATTCAATTCGAGTAAGCTTTTTTTTTATTATTAAATCAGATAAAAACAACTCAATCAGCACGTGAACACCAATAGCAATCAAACACGTCATAAACCCAACAACTCAGCCATCCTCTCCCTATATATAAATACCCATTTCTCCCCCATAATCCCATTTCCCATCTGGCAGTCTGAAACCCACCATATTAAAAATTTATTTTATAAAAAAAGAATTAGAAATTAAAAAAAAAAAAACCAGTATCAAATCTCCCAATTTATTTTGTTTCTTCAACAAACAAATCAAAATCCTCCATATTTTTCTAACGTTAAACCTCCATTTCACCCAATTCCCTCACTTCCATCCCATCTTCTTCCTCCCTTCCTTCCTTCTTCTTCTCTCTCTCGCTGGAGAAATCAAGCAGAAGCAGCAGCTGCTGCAGCAACACGACAAAGGACAGACGGCATTCACTGGTAGTCCGTTCCTCCTGCGGAAAAGACACCACTTAGTATTCTTGTCCAAAGATTTGAACTTTGAAGAACCCAGAAAACTCCATCCGCAAAATCAAAGGTGGGTATCACTTCACTTCTCAATTTCAATCATCTAACCTCATCCTCTCAAAATTTTGGTTCATAATTTGAAGGTGGGTACCACTATCAGTTACCCAATTTCAATTAGTTTTTCTGCTCTGTTTTTTTTACTTCATTTCTTATCTTTGAATGTTTGCATTGTTTTCTGTTTCATTTCTGTTGCTTCGTCCATATCAGAGGGGTAATTAAAAATTGTTCAGAAGAAGCGGCAAAGAAGGAGGTGGTAGAAGAAGAAAGACTGGAACTTGGCTTTTGGTTTGTGCAAAGCAGAGCAGAGCAGGGCGGTTTGGTTTTTCGTTTTTCCACACTAACTCTCCTCCCTGGCTCTCTGCTTTCTCTCCACGTTGGTTGCATCGTTTACTTTCCCGAGAAAGTGATGGAAATTGCGGAAAATCCAAAGATGGTGAGTACATTGGTTCCAGCGTAGTGATTTGTTTTTTGTTTACTAATAAGGACTTTGATTTCCCCGTTACTCTGTTTCTGTTTCTGCCGTTTGTCTCGCCGAACTGTTCCATTGTTGTCTTCTTGTTCAGTTTCCGCAATTTTCAATTTCCCCCCATTTTTCTTTTCTTTTCCAAACAGTTTGATTCTTCTTCACTGTTCATTTGCCCCCCTGTTTCTCAACTAAATTCATTCTTCTACTTCTGGTTCGTTGGGGATTACTACTTACCTGGAGAAATTTTCCTTTTTTTTTTCTGTTCTGATTTTTAGGATTTGATTGGATTGCAAGACAATATGGCGACCACCGCACAGAAAATCTCAGTCGTTGATCACATCAACGGGTTCCAATACGCTCCCGAAAGATCCGATAACTTCGTTATCGACATGGAAGAAAGCTACTCCAATCCCAGAATCACAGTAAGTACTATCTCCAAACCAAAAATACAAGATAGAATCCCCCAATTGATTCGATTCCAGCCCGTCTCTGTTTTCCCCCTTTTCATTTCCCCTGTTTTCTTTTCCGGTAAAGTTGCTACCTTTTTCCTTCATTTTTTAATGGGTTTCCGCCCGCCATTACTGTCTGAAACATTCCTTTCTATCTAAAAAAAGTTGCAGAGGAGCCTTTCCAGAAAAGGGTCCTTTCGTGGCGGCGGGCATGGAGGGATCGAGAAGAAGGTCAATACCATTACCAATGGCTCTGTTTCACAAGAGAAGGAACCCGCGGTTGCAGCGGCGACTTCCCCCGGAGGTAACTCGATTTCCCCTTTTGCGCAATTTTACTTTTCGTTTCTGGGTTAAGAAGAGAAAAGAACACTTGAATCAGTATCACAGAATTCAGGAAAGGGACTGGGAGTAAATTTAGACGGTTCAATAGTGATAACCCATCAGAGGACAAGAGTGTGAAAGAAAGGATAGAGTTATTAGAGGGCAGGTTTGTTTCAGTAATGTAAGGGTATGGCCACTGTTGGTTTGGTTCCATTATAAAGCTCGAAAGAGACGGCGGAGGATTGATGGAGATGGAAGAAGATGAGGAAGAAGGAAGAAGAAGGCTACGCTACCAAACAATGGCCGGAATTGAAACTTTATGACTGAATCAAACGAGAATCATATGCCTGATTACCAGAGCCAGACAAATTTCTAACTAGGGACCAAAACCCTTAACTGAGTGAGAGCGACACCCATTTTTGTTCTATGGACCCCTCCCTTCTCTTCTCCAGATTACACACAAACTCATCACCTCTCGGGTTATGAAAGCATCCGAAGAAGATATCGGCGAGCAACGGCTCGACTCGTACCAGATCGAATCGACTTGTCCGATCCGCTTCATTTCGATTTGACTATCATATCGGACTGAATGTGGGTTTCGGTCTTACTCCGATCCTCTTCACATTCATGAATCTTGTTTGCATAAAGTGAGCCAATTGATAGTTGTTGAACATGATCCAGCCTGCCCACCATTTGTCAGGGTTAGGTTTTCTAGTGGTTAAGCATCAGATGGTTGAAAGTGAAATCCCACCAAACGATTTGGTCAACAAACCGTAAAAACAGAGCAACCCAAAAAAGTACACGCACCCAAGTGGGATTTTTTTTGTTTTTATGGTTAGATTTAGAAGACCACAAGGTACAGTAAAGAGCTCTTTTTGGGTTGCTGACTCTAGTTTTTCACCAGACAAGATGGATGGATGGTACAGAGAATCCAATCCATTTTGTTTTCACTCATTTCTCTTCGTTGTTTCACTTTGTACTGAAATGGGGTCTGTTGTCATTATTAACCAGTTGGGCCAGGGGAAGGAGAAGGAGGAGAAAGAGGTTTGCTGGTAGGGAGTAGCACGCCGGAAAAGGGAATGGTGGAGGGACAGGGGCATCATCAGATCACTATTACCTCTGCCGCCGGCAGCATCAAAGCCACCACCGCCGTCGAAGGACGATCCACGATGAGAAGGAACAGTTTCAAGCGGCATCAGAATTCATGGCTGCTTGATCCCAGAAAAGTCCTCTTCTTCTTTGCCACCTTGTGAGTCCCTATCTCTCTCTCTCTCTGTCTCTCTGCTATCCTTGGTTATATACCGATCTAGTCATCCAACGTATCAGTTAAATGCCAAGTCGGTCACCGGATGGACTCAACAACGTTGTATGACATTGGATGCTGAATTTGGTACGAGACAGCTAAAAAATCTGCAACAATAGTAATTTATTAGGACGAATTTTATGTCTCGTAATCGTCTACATGCCAAATGCAGTGTCCGATAACATAGACAAGTTACGGTGACCAAATTGGTAGTGAACCTTCACTTGCAACTATAGACCAAGTTACTGATGACCTTTTTGTTACAGATCTAGCATAGGGACACTGTTGCTGATATACTTCACACTGTCGATCGCCGCGGTCCAGTCAGACGACGCTGCTGCCATCGAATGACTTCTTCGATGTGTACATAAATGCAATAAGCACGCGGTAAACGACAGTGAAGACTCTCGAATCGATGATTACCCATTTACAGAATCGAGCTGGAAGGTCGTGCATTGTTCATGGAGGCTGATGCTGCTGCACAGAAGCACTACATAGAGAGGTGGAAGACAAAAGGACATGGTGATGAAGTCCGATATAAAAAAAAAAATGGAGCAAAGGAATAGGAATCTTCTTCTTTGTTTTATAAATATGAGAGAAGAACATTTAGATTGTGCACATGGATGGAAAGCTCCTAGTTACTTACCTTTTGGGGTCTCTTTAGTTTATTCCCTCGTTCAAGTCGTCTAACCAACCAGCCCATCCCTTGGAAACCTCCTGAATTTTGTAATGGCTTCTTTTGGCGATCCCACTGAGAGGGCTGTCTTTGCCTTTAGCCCTGCTTTTTGTTTGTACATGGACGCATCAAAAGGCAGAGCATATTATTATTGTGCCACCGGCCATAGCATTAAGCTTTTGTGAAGGTGAAAAGTGCAATTGAAATGAGCAAAATCACAAGCACGCTAGTAAGCTATGTATGCAGCAGAGGATAGTGGGGAATACAGAGCTACAAGGGGAAGCCTAACAATAGATGTTATCGTATGAATGCCTAACATATTCAAGCAGAAGCATGTGCCAAGTTGCAGTAGTAGTCTTCAAATAAGGAAACAAAAGGAAAGCAGAAAGAGCCATCATATTGAAGCAAAAATGGGGAAACACAGATTTCAAGTTCGTCCCAGAAATGGAAGGGGAAAGAAAGAGAACTAAATTCCCATCTCGAGAAACCACTTCCTCCCTGCAACCGATCTGTTAGGCAAAGCAGCTAACTTTATTCTGCAAGTGGGAATCGAAAGTAGCATTTGTGTCTGACTGTGTGTGCCTGTGAAGTGGGAAGTGAGAAGAATGTTGGAACCCTAGTACAGTCTCGGAATCCTGACATGTTAAAAGGCCTTCAATACAACTGCTACAAAAAAAATTCAATTGCCCAAGGATATGGCTGTGAAGCTAGAAGAAGAGGCAGGTAGTCTCAACACAGGAACCAGAGGAGCTATCATGTTCAGGCAAAACTTGTATATGGACACGTTTCAATATCGAACTAGAAGTAGAAGAGTACTACCAAATATTCCCAGATCTCGAGAGATGCTCACCTTGCACTTTCAGTCACTCTATGAGGCAAACCAAATGCATATGCCACTATGTCCATCAGAAAAATTATTCCCTTTCAAGAACAAATATGTCCATCTCATTCACAAGCCAAGAATCCAACTTTCTTCCATCCAATGTAACATCGTCTGTATATATGAGAGTGTATGTGGCTGCTTACAAGGAAGTGAGGTGAACATGAATCCTAGTAGCGATTCAGAATTCACGACATTGAACATGTTTATCCTTTGCCATGGTAAGGCCTTAACACAACAAACGCCAATAATTTGGCAGTGGAGCAAGAAGAAGTGGGCAATGTAGCTAGTTGCTAGTTGAGTAGTCACAACTAGGGGAATGAAGGTACCAGAAAGAGCCATCATATTATTTCTATAAACAGAATGGTCTTCATCAATTGATTCACAAGCCAAGTAGCTTTCTTCTGCAAGTGGAAATCCAAAGTAAACATCGTATGAATAAGAAAGTGAGCGGAGTATGAACTCTAGTAGCGTTTCGAAATCCTAGGCATCAAGCATCTGTTCTTCCTATCATGGTAGAGCCTCAGCACAATTGCAGCAGTTTCTTCAACTGCCCTCTCTGTCACTTCTGCATTTGCAGACCAAGACAATATTATCAGAGGAGGAACAACGAAACATTAATATATCATACTACAGTTCCCCAAATCACATTAGCTACACTTACCAATCACTGGCCAAGCAGGATTCTGTGCAAAAACCCTGCCTGCATATTCCAATTCCTCCCTCACATGATCCATCTCAGCATAATTACTCCTCGTTTCGTCGCTGAATCCCAGAGTCTTCGCTCTAGCTCTCCGAATCGCTTGCAGAACATGCTGGTTAATCGTCAACCCAAACACCTTCTCAGGGTCCACTTCAAACAAGCTCCTGGGCAAGTCAACTCCATTCACCATGGGCACATTAGCTACTTTGTATCCTTTCTGAGCTAAGTAAATCGACAATGGAGTCTTCCCGGTACGGGAAACCCCGACTAGCACTATATCGGCCTTCCTCAAGTTCTGCGGGAGATTCCCGTCATCTTGCCTGATGGTGAATTCCACGGCCTCAATTCGCTGAAAGTATTCTTCCGATAGGGGAACGTTTCTCCCCGCGGCTCCACGTGGAATCCCCGACGGCGAGACTCCGATGTGAGAAGAGATCGCCTCCGTGATTGGGCCTAAGATGTCAGTCGACGGAATCCCCCAAATCTCGCAGGCTTTTCTCACAGATTCCGCCATGGATGAATCTGCTAGCGTGTAGATCACCAGCGCGCCTTCTTTGGCAGCCTGCTTCACAATCTCCATCAGCCGCTCCACATCGTCGATCTGTAGCGAAATCCAAACCGCGAAGCATATCGGTATTTGAATTTGCAGAATCAATTGAAACTTGTGAACGAAAAACTAACTCTGAGGTACAGTAGATTCAATTACCCCGGAGAAGAGATGAGTATTGACGGGGCAACCGCGATCGACCAAGCAGTACTCGAACTGGCCAAGCGCGGCGTTGACGGAGTGCTCCGCCGTCCATCCAGTTCCGTCGGAGACCATGTAAATCGATTTCCCGACGGCGACCTCCTCGCGGTAGTCATCATCGTCTCTTCTGGTATTCGTTCTCCCGGCACCAAACTCGAGCGATTCGCGGTCGTTGAGCTGATCAACTGAGTCGACTCGGTCGAGGACCTGAGCTCGATGGCCGGGCCGTTCCAATTTGCGGCCGGAACGGATTGCTCGAGCCCTAGACCAGCGGTTGAGCTGAGCGCTGCCGCGGAGTTTTCTGGAGGGGGAGATGGTGTCGGATTCCGGGAAAGAACCTGTGGCGGGAAGAGGTAGGGAGTTAGGTTTAGAAGGGGCAGAGCGGTTGGGATTTGGTTCGGTGCCGGGGGAGGAGGACGGCGGTTGCCGGAGGTTCGGGACGTTCAAGGCGGAAGAACAAATCATTTTTTTTTCCGATTAATTATTTAATTTGGGGAAGTTTTCTTCATTTTCCCGACATTATAGTACGCTTTACCACGATATATTTGGACCAATCGGAATCTACTTTTGAGGCCCATTTCAATAAAAGGCTCCACTCTCAGTCCAACAATTCCTTGGTTTTCGAATAATGTCCACGGAGTCATTGCAGGCTTTTGCCAGGTGAAAGGCCCATATCTTGCTCTGACTCTGGCGCCCTGGCCCAACATGAAAACAAGTATTACTATCTCTCCAATTTGGCCTGCAAAGTGCAAAGTAATGTGTAATTGTTTTCAAAACTGGTACATCTTCCATACAAAGTACGGTTTGGTATAAATAAATTTCATAAGTTTTAAGAAAACTTTTTTAAAATGAATTTTTTTGTGTTTGATATATAAAAGAATTCATTTTCAATTCTAAATTTTGAATTCTATGGAATTGAAACTAGTTGTATCAATTTCGAGGAATTAAGATGGAATTTCCAAATGAATACCACAAGTATTTACAAATTATAATAGAATGATATAATTATCCTGTTTTATTAACTAAATTACTTATACATATGACATACCAAACACATGAATTCATTTGACAATGAATTCTACACGACAATTTATTTTATTTCTAACGATTTGAATATGACATACCAAACACAAGATTTCATTTGACAATGAATTCTACACGGTAATTCATTTTTATAATAAAATGAATTCTCAATTCAATTGATACCAAACGGCCTGTAGAAAATTTCAAAACTTCGGATCAAATTAGTTTTTAGTGTAAATTCGGATAAATTAGTGTATTTAACCCATTTATTATGAACAATCTCTACAATTTATCATAACTAGCATCTATTTTGTTCTCTTGGAATTCACTTGGTAATCAACTTAAAACTAGATAAATAACCATGTAGACTAGATAAATAACCAAAATGAAACCGACAGAAATCAATTAATCACTGCTATATATTGATCATCGACTGAGGTCCCAATCTTATATATATACTTTCTCCAAACAATATAAGAATATAAATAAACAACATTTTCTTTTTTTCTTTATTTTTTTCCCCACCCTCTCACGCTCAATCTCCCTAGCTAGCTATATATATTATCAAAACAAATGGGCAAATCCCTAAAATTGAATAAATATGATATCTACTTTCCTTAATCATTAAATAGCGTTTACCGCGAATCTCGGAAGCCCTACTTTATACCCTAATTTCTGAACATCTTCCTGGACCTGTTGTCTATACTCTTTGAAGCTGAACCTCCTGTAGATCGACGGCTCACACCCGCTCTCGATTTCGGTATCGTACGACGGACAGAAGAAGTACGCCGTGGAGAATCTCTCGACGCGCGGGTTCGTCACCACGCGATGCTCCACGCTCTTGTACGCGCCATTGCTCCATGCCTACAAAAAAACATTTGACCCACATGAGACGTTTGGTTCACTCGTGTGGCAAAAAAACATAAACCGACGAAACAAAATGCCAACTTGCAAAAGTTCATTTCGAGTCAAAATCGTTATGTCACATTCTTATGGAATAAATTATACTGAAAGGCAGAACATGCTGTTTTCCAGCTAATTGATGGTGTTTACCTGGAACAGGTCGCCGATGTTGATGATGAGTGCTTGAGGATTGGGTTTGACGGCGAACCACCTGCCGTCTTTGACCAGCTGGAGGCCGCCGACTTGGTCTTGGTGCAATATCGTGAGGAAGTCGCTGTCGGTGTGTGGCACCAGCCCGAAAACTTCCGCCGGGAAAGGACAAGGCGGGTACCTGTTCATCCGAAGGTAACAGGAGCTTGGCACGCAGTTCTCTTCGAAGAAGCTCGATTTCCTGCCCAAGTTCTCGGCCAAGGTTTCGGCCAGCTTCTGGGCCAAGTCCGCCACCGTCGTCGCAAATTGCTCAATCGCCGAGCTACACACACAAAAAATCAACATGGAACGTTTCAACCTCTAATTAGTTATATGAACAATGTACGGCTAGCTACACGCCTACAAACATTTGAAATTTACACATATTTCTAACACTAGAGAATATGATTCAAATAGATACTTGATATGCAACCGGAAATCAACCACAATATTGGCGAGCATAACTCAAACTGGAGTGTGAATGCGTTCGATTGACTCATTCTGCATTCGAAAGTACATGTTTCGTTCTCCCTAAGTTCGGCGAGTATGTTTTCATTTAAAGGAACATGTAAATCAAATGAATGGTCTAAGGCATTGGTAGAGCTACCTGATGGTGGATGTGTGGTCTATGTACTCTACTTAATTGGAAACCGAACACACATTAAAATTCATGACTTTTTTACGTGGAAGAAGAAAATTTTCAAACTATGAACCCCCTTTATTTTCGTGGTACCAATTCTACCATTTAGAAACACTTAGTGCATTTGATCGAACTTCGAACCCATACTCGAATATATGACTAGTTACACCAACGAAATAAGATCTAATATTGAAAACATTATCCCCTTTGAACGAAAATTACCCTCGATAGTGAAAATCCTAATTAATCAGCCTATCCAAACGATTTGTAATTTTAAGAGTACAACCTAACAATGATGTGGAATGAGGACATGGATGGATAGCTTGCTAGCCTAACCAAACCAAACCACCCCCAAAATTAGGTAGAAGTAAAGGCTATGGCCCTCCAAGGTATGAGGAGACTAGGGCCCCTCAACAATGTCAGTTACAGTATTTCTTCAGGACAGCTATTGGTAGTTGTGTACATTTGGTGAACGGAGGACACGATAAGGTCTCTACGAACAGTAATATTCCACACAAGGCGAAGAAGACAGGTCAGGCAAGAAGAGTTAGTTGGCCAGTGGCCACTTTGGTATTCACGTGACGATGAGAAGAAGAAAGTGGGCTAGCTCACCTCGAAAAAAAGCCGTAGCATGCATGCAGAAAAAGAGGGAATCAAGTGTACGTATGAATAGTTACTTCGGCCCAATATCTTATTATTATTCATTATTGGGCCGAGCTTTGTTCTCTCTTCGGTTGCTAGCTGTGTCTCTGTACTCTCCAGTCAGAAGCTTTGTTTGGGTCGAAACCCAAAGAGGAGAAGACGTCGTCGTCCTGTTTGACCGGGTCCTTTTGTCTTCCTCATATGTGGGAGGGAAGAACTGGACGCGTGGCACTAGCCTTGTGTGACAGTTACTTAAACTACGTGGCCCCTAACACGAGCTAACGTACCAATGTGGTCGTTGTCCTAATAATTGGTCCAGCTTGTGACACTTACTACTGAACGTCTGAACCTAACCAACATGACACTTGAGTCTTAAACAAAAAAAGGAAAGTGACATCTTTCATTAAGGTCGGCTCGTACAAGCACACTTAACTTTGTAGTTTTAATGGAGTTCGGTGTATTAATGTTGGTAAGTTTGATATTCTTTATATTTTTCATAAATAGGTGATAGTGTATGACTGTATGTGCTATTCTCCATCAGATGATCAGTTTAGTAGAGACCGACTTAATTAAAATGAAGAGGTGACGAGAAGTCTTTTAGATGTGTATAGTTAGTAAATATGTAAAGAGGCAAGACTCTAGAGTTTGCGGCTTTGCGTGTGTCCACTCCTGGGATTTCGCTATTGGTGTATTTTTTTTCTTCTTCTTCTTCTTTAAGGATGTGATGGGAATATACTGACACTAGAGCTACCAAAGAACAATAATCGTTTAGGCATCGTTTTTTCTTTTTCCATTCTCACCACACACTCGTAAAGCAAAAATATATCTTGTGTTCTATCAATAACCCAGTTTACACATACAAGATCGACCAAGTGTCGTCTGAAGATTCTGAACGATGAAATTTCTCGATAAGTCATAACAATCAATCTCGTTTAACATGGGAATCAGATACGTGCTTAATCCAATTTAAGAAAACGACGACAAGTTTTTCATCTGATTTGGATCATTCAAACTCTGGAATTTGAAGTCTAAGAAGAAGAAGAACCAGAAGAAGAATGCTAGCTATTGATTACCAAAGTGAAGACTTGTTCCTCTAATCACCCAATTAGCTAGCAACCACATCCTTATTATTCATGAATCATTTTAATTCATTCCCACCTCGTCCATAGTTTTTAACTAACGTATGACAGTAAGCAAACCAATTCAGACAACTAGCTCTTAATTGGTTTCCCCTCATACAGCACGAATAATAAATTAAAGCAAAAAAAACAAAACACGTTATTGACACGCACGTACCTGAGGCTATTGAATGAACCGCCGCCCACGTCGTCGAACGAGCTGGAGATGTCGGTCATGGGAATATGGAAAGCCTCCGACCAAGCCAGCTGCCTGAGACATGTCGCCGTCGGCGTTCCCCACCGGTAAGTCCCCGCCGAGAACTTGTCCTCCTCCTTCTTCCTCTCGAACGGCTGCTTGAACACCTTCATCTGCTCCTTCCTCATCCTGTCCAGAATCTCCCTCGAGACGCCGTGGTTCACCACCTGGAAGAACCCCCATTCTCTGGAGGCTCTCGCCATCTGGTTCTTGCACTGCTCCCTCTCCAGTGGACCTCCGGTCACCAGTGGCTGGAGGTCGATGAGAGGGAGCTCGCATTCCTCGATGATGTCTGACGCGACTGTGTTGGCAGCCGTGTCAGGAGGAAGAGGAGGAGGAGGAGGAGCAGGAGCAGATGGATTCTTCATCTGCTTCTTCTTGTCGATGAGGAGGTCCTTGTAGGCCTCGCGGAAAGGAGGGTCTATCTCCATGCTCCCAGCCTGAGAGGAAAGGGGGGAAAAAAGGGAAGACAAGTGGGTTTATAGATTATCTTTTTTGGTAGTGAGTATAGCAATGTAAATGGCTAAGTTTGTGAATAAAGGAAGCGTAAGGTATATATAGAGGGATATGGGAATATTGGAGGGAGAGGTAACTGGAATTACGTGGCTTCGATGAAAACTTTGTGTATCTTTATTTGGGGGGTTCTCACACTCGAATAAATATCGACTCCTCTCCTTAATTATAATGTTTGTGAAGATATTTTTTAAAATATTTCATAAATATATGATAAATCTACAACACTTTGATTGAGCATACTCGGTATTTGTATCACACAATCTTTTTTATTTTTGTCATCTTGCCAAATTTAAAACTATCTTTAACTATTATCTGCAACCTTTAATAGGATTGTTTGGGGATCATAAATCGTTTGTTGTGATTCTATGAATACGTGATTTTCGACCCGCTCATCGTTTGTCTTGTTCAATTTTACACAAAAATTAAGTATATTGTCATTAATGTGCAGACAGTGGGGTATAGCGCTTCAGGTGATTTGATTTTAAGAGATAGTCTGACCAGGCTGAGGATGATTGCAGGGGTAAACAATAGTCTTTCTTTCTTCTAAGTTGTAAAGAGTAGATAGTACTTTGTCACTTTTTATATTTAGATTGTTTGTGCTTAGTGAAATTTGATTTAACCATAAAAACAATATGTATTATTGTAATGCATGAAATGGCCATGCATATTTTCTGAAAATCTAAGGGGTGGTAGAGAAAATCATGCTAATAATATGCCCATTGTGAAAATAACATCTAAAATACAAATAAATTGTCAAAATTCATAGATAACTAGTGAACTAGGACCAATAAAATCATGTGACCTTTGGGGGCTTTGGGAGTGTTTTTGCGGTTTGCTAATTCCCTGTATATTTCCCCCCATTGTTGATTGGGACAAATTAGATGGCCATAATAAGATGCTATATAAATGGTGTGAAGAAGTTACCAAGAGAAGTAACAACCATGATCCTTGCTGCTAGCTAGTGATTCCTCATTTGTTGTGATACCGCGTTTAGTTTCTAGCTACTACATAGCTCATAATTATTATATACACTGTGGATAATATAAATTAATTACCATTAATTCCAGTGGAAAACCAATTAAGTAATCGAGATTTGGAGTATATGGTAATCACTAGTCACTATAACCTAAGAAATACTAGTTAGGTTTGTGCTTTCCGGTCAAACTTTTGAGATGATTCCGAAAATGCAAATATCTAGCAAGTTTGGAGCACATAAAAAAAATATCTAACAAATATGTGAGAGTTCATTTCTAGATATTTCTCTCTTGTTATAATTTTCTCATTGCGCCTAGGAGTAGAGAAATTTTAATACTATGTTTAATTTGTTGGTAATTGGTATATGATTTGTAGATGAATCTCTTTTAATAATTCGAATTATTAGGATTAATTAGTTCTTAATCTAGTATTAGAGTCTTATGTGGTCGAAAAGTCTTCTATTCAAATTCCAATAACCTACATATCTTCTATTAAACACATAGTATTCGTATTCTGAGGCTAGCAAAAAGTCCATACGAAATCACAACCAACACTATTGATATTACGGCATTACAGAAATGTCGCGAAATCAGAAACCTATAATTAACTTTAACCTGCACTTTGAAGATTGCATTTCAAGGATGACTTTATATGTGTGCTTTGATCCCCTTTCTTTCTCTTATCTTCTCCGCCTTTACCAATCAGGAAAGCTAAAAATCTAACTGTACAAAGACACTCTCAGTGCTCACCTTACCTAATTAGTACTAGGCTTCTTGAGATTTTGGAAAGGAATCTACGAGTAAATTCGTGCAGGGTTTGGTTCAAAGCGAACAATATCGTACTAATGAGCTTACACAATTTCAACAAATGATATCAAAGTCTGGTTCCGATCCAGGGAGGTGAACTTCAGTTTCGTGGACCCTCATCCGGTGACCTCGGGATAGGAGATCCGCGTTTGTTTGGTGGATCAAGGAAGATTCACATCTGTCTAACATATCAAAGGAGATCTGCGTCTGGTAAACGGGGCATCTTTGGGAAGCAACTCAACAATAAATTTGGGCAGATTTTGAAACAACCCAAAATTAAATTTGTACAAATTTGACTCAAAACAGACAATATCGTACTAATTGAGCTTTCCAGTCTCGACACTAACTATTATTTGTACTGCACAACCTCCACCACAAAGATTATGAGATCCAATTCTCCTAACCTCATCACCCATATAGCAAAACTATTATGTGTATAACACAAAACCAACGTTGGACTCAAGGAATGAAGCTGTCAATTTAATCATTCTGAATGAGAAAAATGTGCCCAGATGGCCACTTTACTTGCCAAATTTCAACAATTTGGCCCACCTTCAATTAAAAAAAACTTTCGGCCAAACCCACAGGAACACATACTTCCACAAAATCAACTTATGCAGTGGCCATCACCGAAGTCTCATTTGCATTTTGGTTTGGGTAGTGGGTCTCACTCACTAATTAATCACCATGTAATTCTAATCATTATCATGGCTTTATGATCGACGAATCACATAACAAAACAAACGTGATAAATGATGAATATAGCAGGCCTAATTAATCTCAAAAGGGTTCAAATCAAAACTTGGTTTGAACTTGTTTTATATCAATTAACTAGTAAGCAAGGGGGGATGGGACTTGACCTAGGAATTAATGACTCTGTAAATGAATGATTAATTACACAACAATATGTCCCTATAAAGTACAAATAAATACGAATGACAAGGGATTGACTCATAGTATAATTTGACACAATTGTTATGACTTATATTGTATTAGATCGGATTCAAAGCTTTTAACTCAATTACACATTTAATGTTGATGTTTCTACCTTTTAGTTTGTTACATAACAAAAAAGGCATAAATTGCATTAGAATCAAATAATTATTTTCTTTTTTATACTCAATACTATAGATCTAATTAGATCAAAACCAAAAACCTGGACATGAAGATTGAAGATACCCAAAAGTAAAATTACCCAAATCCTACTTAACACATGATAAATTAGGATTAGACAATACTAAAACATGACTTTTTTTTTGTCATCCCTATAAATAAACAGCTTGTAGCTATCTAGCTGAATGGTCATATGACAGGTAAAGGTTATTTTCATTAATTGTCATTTTCTTTGTACGTTTGTACTTCATAATAACCTTTAAGAGCTAAAAGTACAATGGTATATCTTATACAAATATTTCTTTTATTTTTATTTTTACTATAAGGGTAACATTGTTATTTTTTGTATTTAGGTGTTTGACAAATGGATCCAAATTTGGGATCTTTCAAGATTGGTGGTATTACAACTAGATCAATCCTTGTTCGCGTATCTTATATATAAATTGGTTATAGATAATTGAAATTTCTAATTCAAATCTCATCATCCTTACGTAAAATATTGAACTTTCTCGCTTATAGAGACACAAACTAGACTATGTTTCTTGTCTCGCCTTTTTGTTACGATCGAACCCATAACATCTTTAACATTTAGGATTTACCTTAACTTCAAGCAAGATTCCCTTACCGAAATAAAATCGCAAATCGGGGAGATCACTAATTAATTTCTGTAGACATGATTAAGGTGAAGTACTATGAAATATCCAGCCTCGGTGCTAACGTAGAAGATGTACTGCAAAAACTGAGAGAGCAACCAAACCAAAGATTTTTGGCATAGAACAAAACGATGATCGAACTCTTTTTGTCTCTCTCCTATGAAACTACTTTCCTTTTCCTTCATTCACAAGGGATGAGCTTTAGACTTCCCATGAAGGATAGTGACGGATAATAATAATATTTATTAACAATAATTAAAGAGCTGTAACTAAAGTTATAACCGCGCTTCTAGACGGTTTATCGTCTGTTATTACTATAAGTGCTGTGTTAATTATTAATGATTAACAGCTGTTGGATCATCTCATAAGAGATCCAGCTATGGTATGGGTTTTCTTCAACGAGGGGCGCCACTTCGCAAAAGGGTAGGTTAGGTAAACCCTAGTAAGGGTATGTGTTCACTTTTTAATTACAACTAAATTTAGTTTTGCTTTTTCAAATTTAAAATTATTTCAATTTCATTTGTTATATAATTGGATAAAATATGCTTTTTGTTAGACATTCATACTCATTTTCTCATTCATTTTCGATATAAATACTCACAAATTTCAGGCTAAAAAGGGAAAACAAATAAATCAAAAGGAAACCAACATCCCAAATTGACTAATATTATATCTCTGAACATTCATGTGCGGCTTGGGTGTTTGACCAGCCGAATTTTCTAATTACACTCAAGTTTTATATTATTATTATTATTATTATTATTATGTATTTTCTTTTTATTTTCTTTCATTTAATATTGGTGAATTCTGGTCAACTGTCGATTGACCGACCAAGACCCATATGTCCAAGGTATCACTGTCCCTCGCTCGGACATGTATTCAAATTTCAAAGCATTGCATGGGAGAACAGATCTTTTCAGCACGTATATGTTTTTACCAACAAAAAAAAACAGTTTAAAATATAGTAAAGGAGATGTCAATTAAATTATTCATTAGCACCCTTCATAAGTTATGTTTCATACTTTAATGCTATCTAGTATCTAGGGTTACCTATTAGAAAAGAGCGGGTTATAAGAAGTTCATTTCGAGATCAACAAAAACAACATAATTATCTAAATTTTACACAAACTTATGGTAGATTTTCTAAAACAATAAAAGGGCAACTCAAACCACATCACAAAAGAGTAATCATAACGTAATAAAAAGTCGAATAAAAAAAAAATAGAGCAGACCACAAAAAGGATTACAAGTTGAACGAAAAGGAACAGATCAATCTGAAGCGAACTGTTGTGATGGAAAATGACGAACCACCAACCCACCAGCAACGACATCAGTGTTTTACCCTTTAGTTATATTCATCACTTAATTTCGTTACTCAAATCATCTACGAATTCTGATTAACTCGAAACT